AACCTTCCAGCCACAGGAACAGATCCTCAGCCACAGAGCCACCGCTCCGCCCCAGAAGAGTACTGACATTCCCTGACCGGGAATCGAACCCGGGCCGCGGCGGTGAGAGCGCCGAATCCTGACCACTAGACCACCAGGGACGCTACAGCGACACTTGACTGCATAGCTGAAAGATCACTCCCTGTAGCGCAACAAGCTTGCAAAGCCCCATGAACACCTCTTCTATTTCTTGTCTCTCCGCAGGAATCACGTTATGGGACGGCGAGACGCTGCAGAAAGACATCGACGTGCGTCCTCAGCCGAACACCGATTTCCAGATCATTGCGTCCGACTCCACGGAGGACAAGGCGTCCGCTCTGAATGTGGAGGCCTCCCTGGAGGCGAACTTCCTCTGTGGGCTGGTCTCGGTGAAGGGCTCGGCGAGTTACCTGAACGACAAGAAGACCTCGAAGAAGCAGTCGCAGGTCACCCTGCAGTACCGCACCACCACGCGCTTCGAGCAGCTCAGCATGGACCGATGAGGAGCCGGAAACGTGCAGCACAGCAACATCTTCCAGGAGGGGTCGGCCACGCACGTCGTCACGGCGGTGCTGTACGGCGCGCAGGCCTTCTTCGTCTTCGACCGGGAGGTTTCGGCAGAGGAGAAGCAGCAGGACGTCCAGAGCAGTCTGCACGCGGCAATAAAGATGATCCCGTGTGTGTCGATCGAAGGCGAAGCCTCCCTCAGAATGACGGACGAGGAACGGCAGCAGGCGGACAAGTTCAACTGCAAATTCTACGGGGATTTTGCTCTGGAAAAGAATCCGTTGACGTTCCAAGACGCCATCAAGGTCTATTCATCTCTCCCACACCTGCATCGGGTTAGTTCGCCGATCCCAGCATATTTCAGACAAATGGATGATTATATCGCGCGGTGCCAAGACCTGATGAAAGACGCGATTGCGATCCAGTTTCCAGAGATGAACCAGAAACTCCTGCGGTTTAAAGACCTGTGCGTGGAGTA